ATTATATATCTATACACATACATGGGATTTACACAATTCAAATTCTCACCACATCTCATCAGAATGCATATTCATACAATCAAGCATATTCATCAAATCATGCGTATATACATACTCATCATTTTCCACATAAACATCTAGAATTATGTTCAATTCACTCCATGCATCATATAAAGATGACCAATGCAACTCATAGAGACCGACTCACGACTCTATGCAGATGCAAATGCGGTACCGACTCAATTCAGCAGATTCTCCAAGGAATCAAGTATTCAGCAGATTCTCCAAGGAATCAAATATTCATCAGATTCTCCGAGGAATCGAATATTTAGCAGATTCTCCGAGAATCAAATACTCTGCAGATTCTCCGAGGAATCAAATGTTCAGCAGATTCTCCAAGGAACCAACATCGCTAGGATGTACATCATGATGCCTTTATGCAAAATGACTCACAATATTACTCTACATGCATACATATTCTCAAATATATCACTATGCATATTCATCTCATACAAGCACATACAATCTATGCACATTCACAATATACTTATACTTCATAATATACACATACTCTTCATTTCAACACATACCATTCCATATAAGGCATATATTTTCACAATCAAAATTCCATATTCTAGGATTCACGCCTTGCGGCTACCCACAACATAACATACCACACGGCACACAAAACTATTCAATTCGATAAGGATTAAACATAACTGAACAAAGAAATCCGCATGAAAAGGGAAAACACAGAAAATAGGAAAATGATGTCGCATTCGCCAACCTTCACCTGGCGAATCCTCTGGCGAACCTTCGCTACTTAGTTCGCCTGACGAACTTGCCAACGAAGACCACTGGGAGTTATTTTGGAATTACTTGCTAGCACACTCTCCTGGCGAACCTTCACCACTCTCATTCGCTTGGCGAACTTGCCAACGAAGACAGGGTGGATGCTTCTAACTTAGTTCGCTGTTGCTCGCTGGGCTTCGCCTGGCGAAGCTTCGCTGTCGTTTGCCTGGCGAACCTGCGAACTTAGAACTTCCATGGTTGTCCAAAGCCCCAACCTCACAAAACCAACCAATTCTAACACCAAACTACCCCAGTAAGTCCAATCCAATAACACCCGATTATCCTACTCCATCCATTTCTCGATTCTAACCGGTTAAAACCATATTCTACCGATTAAATCCTAATATTGCCCTAAGATGGAAATGAGTAGAAACTCTTCTCAATCCAACATCAAACAATCAATAGCATACATAATCATACACATTAACAGTATAATAGAGTTTCACACCCTTACCTGATTGATTGAAAGCTTGGATGTTGATCCTTGATGAAATCCTAGGTTTTCCTCTTCTTTCTCCTCTTTCTCTTCTCTCTTCTTTCTTTCCCTTGTTTTTCCACTAATGTTTCTATCTATTTCCTTTTCTCTCTTATCTCATGTTCTATTTTCTTTCCTCTCCATTTCTTTCCAAACACTTACCAATTAATTCTCACACAATAATCCACTTAACACTTAATACTAAATGTCTAAAATACCCTTTACTCTATTTTCCCGAAAACTCTCCGAATCGGTAAAATAACACAATATTGAAATTAAACATATCAACACATAAATTCCACAATTAAAATACCAATCATCCAAATGAATTAAAAAGGACTCAACAAAAATGGGAAATTCAGAATTTGGGGCGTTACAGTTATGACCGCTTCTAGGTTGTGTGACCTATGCATGTCCAGTTACAGTCTGGTCAACCACATGATGCTTAATGCACTCGTGGAGAGATGCCATTCTGAGATGACTTTTTTCCATCTCCCGCATTGTGAGATGTCTATCACACTGGACGATGTCTCGTCTTTGTTGCATATTCCGATAAGGGGGAGATTCCTCCATCATGGTATGATGACCAAAGATGAGGTGGTCGAGATGATAGTGAAGCATTTAGGGGATGATCCAGGGGACACGATTAATAAGGTGGATATGAATAGGGGTGTCTATGCTAGGTTTGAGTTCATGAAAAATATATTTGATGATGAGATCGCTGCTGCACAGCAGACTGATGGTGATGTCGAACAAGTGGCCTTACACAAGACTCATGCCTTAAGGGCACATTTTCTTTATTTGGTTAACACTTGTATTTTTGTGGACGCGAGTGCCACCTATACTGACGTTGCATACCTTTGGTACTTCTTGGATCTCACATGGATCAATGAGTACAACTAAGGTGACTTGTCTGGCCTATCTGTATTCAAAGTTGAGATATGGATTTTTTTCATTTCATATTTGTGATAATTCTTGATCCTTAAATGCTTTTTATTTTTATTTCAGACATGGATCCTGCAACACTTCCCGCACATCGCTGGCTGGGCATGTTAGGATGAGATCACTGAGGAGATGCTCTGTGCCTGCGCTTTTATCTTGCTGAGAAAGAACCAAGAGATTGAGTCTTTCAGAATCTATCTTGACTGCTTGGCTACCGAGGCATCCACTTCAACTGCTACGTGGATCACCGTCAGATGCGGCCATTTGACGACATATCTCTATACTCCTGATGATTGTCCTGCAGATCGCGTATCACTGCTCCTCATCTGCTCGAGCGCGTCATGCGGTAGTTCGAGTACACGTAGACCATCCTTAGATACTTTGTTGTCTTTGTTCCTCCTGTCTTGACTCGTATACAGATAAAAGGAAATGTTTGCTAATTATCAGAGTCACCTGATACCAGATGAGGCTTGGGTTACCATAACACTGAATCACTATAGCTACATTGACAGACACATCAAGTGGTTCTTCAGGGTCTCACATTCATACATGGTGCCAATTGCTCTAGGAGATCCGCTGAGACTTGCTCATCAAGAGATTTTAGAGGAGAAACAAGCTAAACTAGATCATATTAAGGATATATTGCCTCAGTGTCGTCGCATAATAGAGATTGCGCAGGCAGATATTGACGAGGGAATCTTCCCCGAGGGTTTTGCTGTGCGGCAAGTACTGGATGCCATGGTTGCGGAGGCACGAGGTGCACTAGTGTACCACAAACATCACGCGAGGACGAGGGGATCGACGACCGAGGAGGCAGACCAGGCAGAGAAGGCACAAGAGGCGGAGGTGAGGTTGTCAGACACACCTAGTAGTATCCTGTTATTACTTTGATGTTTTACTATAGTTTGTATTTTTTTCCTGACATTGTTACTACATCTTGAATCTGGTGTTGTACGATATTTTACTATTATGTGGATATATTATTTTGTATGTCTGTTATTTTATTCGATATCGTTCTTCATAATTCATCTAAAAACAAATACACAACTTGTTATAAAAAAATCTGTTATGATACACTTCAAAGATATACGCAATATTCTCGTAGATACATCTCCAAAAATATTTTAAAAAAATGGGTTGTGGATGATATGCTGTGAGCGTTTAAGGTTTAATTATTTCCGGAGATATATCTTTGGAATATGTTAGCGTTTAATCAGAAGTGGGGTGCGTCCGGAGATATATCTCTGAAACTTTAGGATATAATAGAAACTCCACACGATGGGTAAGAAATGTATAGTGTTGAAAAAGAAATTCTCCCAAATATTTAGACACTTTAGCCCAAACCACAATGAATAACTTAATCTTACTAATATCGTCAACCCAAATACAATTCTTTATGCTTTATTGATTGGAGATTTAGACAAAAAATAAACGACCAAAAATAAACGATGAACATATGAACAAACGTAAAGACAATTAAGGGTTTAACCACTTGAATTCTACCTGGCACAACCATTTTTGAGCTTATAGCTTATAAGCTCATATGACAAAAAAGACCTATTTGATAATAGTTTTTTCATCGCGAGCTTATAGCTTATTTTACTAACTTATAGCTTATTTTTCAGACGCAATTTTAAATAGCATTTTAGCTTATGACTTATAACTTATAATTTTTTTCTTCCACTTTTGTCCTTATTATTTTAACTAAAATTCACTACTATCTCTTTATAATTTATTTTAATTTAAGTAAAACAATTATATATTAAATATCTTTTATGTCATTTTAATTTTTTAACTAATTGAATCGCTAATTTTACCAAACTCTTGTATTAGCTTATCAAGTATAAGTCATCAAATATCAATTATAAACTATAAGTTATCACTCATCAATCATCAATTATAAACTATAAACTATCAGCTAACTTATCAACCAACCACTACTTTTATTAAACAGAGCCAAAATTAAAAGAGACCCCTTACATTTTTAAAATTATACTAGAACATTTGAATTATTTAAGACATATTTTTTTCTCCTTCACTTTTAAAATAGTTTACACGAAAATAACACATAAAAATACAACATTTTCATGTAAGATATTTGAAACAATTTAGTATTTAAGAAAACGGTCCAACCTACTTAGATACTTAAATAAATTTTTAAAATGAGAGATTCAAAATAAATAAATAAAATAAAAGTTTTTGTTAATAAAAATTAAATCAAAAATTTAAAAGATGTGATATAAAAAATATGTCATTTCAAATATTTATAATTAAATTAAAATATTTTAAAACTTTTTTATAGTAAAAAATTTTAAAATCTAAAGCCTTTGTGTGGATTGCCTTGCCTTTCTTTGGCCGACATAAAAAAAAGTTAAAATTTTTTAAATAAAAGAAATAAAAAAAAGGACCATGAACAAAAGAAGAAAAATAATCATAAACTAAAATCATTACGAAAATTAAGCTAAAAAATTGCCAAATCACTAAAACTAAACTTTTGATATAATTTATTTGACCTAATAGACTAAATATTTATTACCACACAACTTTTTCTACTGAAAAAACGATATCTTTCCTTAAATATTTATTTATCAATAGATAGAGAGAGAAGATATACAGACATTGCGTTGCCCCCTAAAACCCAAACCCTAAAATTCACAATCTTCCCTCCAATTCTCCCTCTCTCTTCTCACATAACACAACTTACCCTCCAAAATCACTTTTTCTCTTTCCAATGGGCAAGTACATGAAGAAACCCAAAACCGGCGACGTCGCCGCCGTAATCATGGAAGCTCCGTCTCACACCACCGCCGTCGGAGTCCGGACAAGAGCTAAAACCCTAGCTCTCCAGAAGTCGCCGACTTCTTCTCCGCAACATACGGACTCCTCTTCTTTCCTTCAGCTTCGGAGTCGGCGTCTCTGGAAGGTACCTCCGCCGCCGCAGCCTCGCAGGGAGAATGACTCCGTTGGAAGTTTGAGGCTTCGAGAGTGTTCTATTAAAACGTTTTCGTGTATGCATAGCGTTGAGAATTTGGGAAATGGAAATTTCTGTGCTGAAGAGGAGAATTTTGATTTCACCATGGAAGGTTCTTTTGGTGAAAATTTCTTGGAGATTGAAGGCTTAGATAGGTATATACAATTTCAATTTAATTTCTATCCAATTTTTTAGTGTTTTTATTCAATTTTTTTACCTTTGTGTTTTTGTGTTTCTTCATTGTGTGTTTTTTCCTTTTGTGTTTTTCTTTATGGGGTTATTTTTGTTTTGTATTAATTGCATGTTAATGTTACTTTGGTTTTGAGAATTTTCATAAGTGTAATTTCATGTTTTTATTTTTGTCTGAAGGAAATTGAAAAAGTTACAACTCTTTTGCTTCTATATTATCCTTCTATATCTTTCCTCTCAAAAGCCTGCTTTTTCTTATACTTTTTGTATAATAATAGTATAATATTAATTTTTTAAATAATAACAACAATAATATATTATTATAATCTTTATTATTATTATTATTATTATTATTATTATTATTATTATTAATATTATTATTATTATTCATTAAGCCATGTGTAGTCTTAGTCCCTAGATTTTCGTTTTAATGTATAAGCTTTCATGTGATTGTTTTGGTTTCTTACTCTGAAATCTGGTACTGAGGGGTAAAGTTTTGTTGGTACAAAGGAGTGCTCAAATTTGTAACTTCTGCCACTTGTGATAGGTTCTCTGCAACTAGCATACCTCTCCGTATAGTTATTTACTGCCTATTTTTTTTTTTATTTGCTGCATTGATATCTGTGTTTTTCTTTTATTACGTACATAATTTTTCAATGGTAAAATTTATTTGCTATAACTATCCCGTTACATTAATGAATGATAGACAGTACTATCAATAATGCAGGGTGTTGACAAAGTTTCAATCTTTTTTCATGTTAATTGATTACATAACCAGCAAAATTGAAAATGAGTACTGGGACTTGATTAAAAAACAGAAAGATCCCAACTCTAAAAGTTGCAGATTTAGTTGTTGTGCTGAATAATTGTGATTTAGCAATCTTTATTGATTCATATTTTGAGGCCATTTGTAATTTCCATCCGTATTTCACTTGTGATTTTGATAATCTTAAAATAAGTTAAGATTAGAATTTAACCTTGATTTGTCCCTGTTTACTATTGGTCTAGGATTCCATGCGGGTACGGGAAGCACACATTCGCCCATCCAGGAAGTTGGTACCGTTGAATGAAGATTGGACGACCCAAGTTCACTTTTAAAATTGAATTTACCTAGCCTATGATACAAGTTGTCCAATCTTCATCAACCAATTTCAATTTACCGACTGCATGGATGTGTGTTTTTCATGAGCAAGGATATTGGGTCCCAGTTGGTTATGTTTAAAAAATGTCACATTTAGTGTTCCTAATGGAAAATGAAATTATTTTGACTTCAGTAATACCAGCAGCAGCCATAACTCTCATGTCTCTTCGTGTTAACGAAGGCATGTCATATATCTGGGGGCCTATTTGCAGTTTGATGTGTTTTGGATTCCTGTTTGGTTTTTGCAGTGAATGAGAAAGATTTGGCTATCTCTTTCTTTGTATTTTTTTTTTTTGCTTGAGCCCACTGAGTCAGTGTTTGTCTCTATTAAATGCCAGTTACTTTTCTAGAGTAGGAGTTTGTCTCTAGTCTAATTCCATTTTGAAGAGTTTGTGTGAGCAAAAACAATCCTTTTTTATTTTTCTGTCAGCATTTCTGGTGCAGAAACTTTTGATTACAAGCCAGAATTTGCATTTTCTATGACTGCCATTTGTTTTTATAAGTTTTTCCCTATTAGATTCTCTTGCTAAGCTATTTTAATAGTAATATTTTGGTGTTTAACAGAAGCACCAGGGAAAACACACCTTGTAGTTTAATAAGGGATTCAAGTGCCATTCATACCCCTGGTTCAACCACAAGACAAAGGACACACCGAATATTTCACGAACACATTCAAAGAAATATTCCAACAGCTTATGAAATGGACGAGTTCTTTGCTTTCGCAGAGAAGCAGCAACAAGCAATATTCATGGAAAAGTGCGTATGCCTTTTAAACTCTCCAACCCCCAATAGTTTTGAGGATTAAATCAGTGATTCAATTATTTATGCCGATGTGTATATTGTTTAAATTTTGCAGGTACAATTTTGATGTAGTGAATGATGTACCTCTACCAGGACGATACGAATGGGTCCCTGTACTTCACTAGGACAAGCTTTCACAAGCCATTTGGATTTCAAGCAGAGCTATTAGACTTTAATTTAGCAGAGCTAGCAGTTTTCACTAACCATTTAGATCGCTTGAGATCTTGTTCTACACAAATGCGCATCATCACTCATACCTTGCATATGCACGGGTAATTTACTAGTTTAGTTTAGCAGACATTTCTAATATATGGTTAGTTTAGAATTTAGAGTTAGTTAAATGTATTTCTTATATGTAAGGGTAGGGGGTATAATGGGTCTCTTTTCTTTTCTTGAGTATTGTTAACTTGTGTCTATAATTTCCTAGGGATAAATCGTTAATCAGTAGTGTTAATGTTATTAATACTAGTTATCCTCTGTTTTCAAGCTTGAAGTATCTGTCAAGTTTAACTTTTGGCGACAATGTTATTATTGTCCTATGACCTACATGGGTGTTGTCTATAATGATTTAAACTGCAACTTTCATGACAACGAGACAACAATGCATACCTCCACAAGAGTACGACTAATTAAAGTTTCCATTTTTATTTGAATTTTATCAATGATATTATTGCCAAAAACGTAAAAAAGAACACAGGGAGTTAAAAAATATAATTCAGTTATTAATTTTGGTTGTTTCTCAAAACCCTTCCTTTCCTTTCATTACTTGTATATAAGTTTTTTGTGTTCAAACTTAAACACTCTAATTTGAGAAACACAATGAGTTTTGGTAAGACTTAGGTAGAGTTTGGACTATATTAAAAATTCTTATATCTTTTTTTATCTCTTTTCATATCAAACACTCCATAAACAACAAAAAAATGTTGCCTAAACATTCTCTTTTCCTCTTCAAAAACATTTCCTAAAAAGATGAGCATCATTAAGCAAGTTTGTATGTATAGTTTCTATTTCACCATAATTTTTAAGTTTTCCAAACACACTTAAAAGCTATAAATACTAGCTTTAATTAAAATCAATTTTAAAAAACATAAGAATTCTACTCAATGAAAATTAGATATATATAATCAATTCTACTCAGATAAAAATTAAACATATAAAAATCAATTCTACACATTCAAATTTCAAAATCAATTATGAATGCTTCAAAATATAAAACAAAACATATAAGTAGTGTTAACCCTCTTCTGTTGTTGAAAATGTGTTTTTTTTTTCAGACTGACTCTATAAGATATAGGAGCATGAATTCAAATTCATGATGTATCACTAGTTCACTTTGAAAAAATAAATTTAACCAATGAAAATACCCGACGAATATCCGACGAATATCGAATCCAGGGATCATACACACCCACACCAAAACATATGTTAAAATATTTGTGGCAAATTTCCATTTTGTACTTGGAATATGAGAGATAGGTGATATTTTCTCGACCACTACATAAAAACAAAGAAAAAAGATTAGATAGGTCATACCAATGGAATCTAGCATATGCTTTTTATTTTCAGAATATCCTTAGGATCTATCAATTCAAATTGGATCACTATCACGTCCACTTTTATGTAAGAGATATAATTCAAATTCACATAATGACATAAAAACTGGACTGAGATTGGGTGGTTTGTGGTGGTGCCAAAGACACCATACATTTGTCATATTTCTCACCACAAACACTTTTATACATTGTTTTTTAAATTTATTTATTTATTTTCTTTCTCTTAAAAGATAACTAAAGATAGCCACGTTGATACACAAGAAAGGAGAAGATGGAGATGATAAAGATGGAAGAGAGAGAAGAGAGAAAAATAATAACTAACTCATAATTGAAAATGACTACTTTAAAAAATTATGTTACAGCAAAAATTACATTGGATTTTTTTAATTAACACCAAAGTGAAATGAAACTTAAATGCAATTTAAATTACATTTAAATGAAAATTGAAATAAATTATATCTAACACCATCCCTTAATTTATACTCAGCTAATAAAAAACAACATCGATTTCATCCCTCAAATGTATAAAGTGTTCAGTCTTGATTATTTTGGTTAGAACATCTACCTGTTGCTTTTGAGTGTTACGGTGCACAACTTCAAACACTCCATTATGAATCTGGTTTCTCAGAAAATGAAACTCCGTGTCAATGTGTTTGCTTCTTCCATGCAGCACTAGATTCTTGACAAGACTTATAGCTGAATTGTTGTCAATCATCAACTTCACAGGCTTGCTCACCTTGATCTTCAGATCCTGCAGCAAGTTCAGAATTCATACAGTTTGACAAACAGTCAAAGCACCTGCAATGTACTCAGCTTTACAGGTTGGCAATGCAACCACTGATTACCTTTTGGAACACCAAGAAATAGGACCTCCCAGATATTTGAAGAAATATCCAGAAGTTTTTCTTTTGTCGACTCTGTTCCCATACCAATCAGAGTCTGAATATCATATTAGCTCTGAATCAAATTCACCATTAGAAGGGCACAAAACTTCATACTTCAGAGTCCCTTTAACATGCCTCGGTTCCTGACAGCAACTTGGTAATGTGACCATTTTGGTTTGTTCATAAACCTACTCACTATTTCAACCGCATAACAAATGTCATTTCTGGTATTACAAAGATATCTCAAAGAGCCTACCAACTATTTAAAAGTTGTAGCATCTATATCATCACCCTCAACATCAGAATCATGCTTGTGATTTATTTCATCAGATTTGATTGTAGACTTGCAATTCATTAGCTCAAATTTCTTCAGAAGCTAAAGTGCATACTTCAGCTGATGCGAGATTATACCCTTATCAGAGTACAAAATCTCAATTCCTAAAAAATATGTCATATTTCCTAGATCAGTCATCTCAAGTTCATTCATCAGCACCTTCTTGAACTTAACTATCTCTTTTGAACAACTTCTTGTTAGTAATATGTCATCAACATAAAGAGGCACCAAAATCATATTGCTATCAGATGTATGTTGAACATAAATACCATACTCCATCTCACATTTTCTGAACCCTTGAAGCTTGAAAAATGAATCTATTTTCAGATTCCAGGTTCTAAGAGCTAGTTTTAGCCCATACAAGGCTTTATTCAACTTGTACACCATTCCTTCCTGATTCTTTTTTACAAATCTAAGAGGTTGTGATACATAAACTTCCTCTTGTAAATGACCATTCAAAAATACAGATTTTATATCTAAATGCACCAAAGGTCAATTTTGTTAGACGAAAGCGACTTATTCAGACGGGGTGAATAAATCCCCAAAAAAATTTGCTTTAAAAAAGTTGTTTTAAAAAACAATGGCTAGCGGAAGAGACTTAGATCAATTCATCTAAATCGAACCACTATCGAAAAGCTCAGATATGCGTATATGAAAATCAATTAAAGATAATGCTATTCAATCAATATGCTTTAATCACAATCCCTTGAAAGCTACTAAACAAATAACGCCATTCCCAATGATAAATCATACAAAAATACTATTGAGACAAATTATCGAACACTTGTATGCAATCGATTTCGTTTGGAAATTTGTATGATTTTGTTGATCTTAAAATCCAACCATAATCTAAAGGATTGTGATCAACTTAACAAAATGTTTTTCAAAAGAATTAACCAAACGTATTGGTCACACAATTGATGAACTCAACAGTTTTCAAATGAAATCTAAAAGAGATAGAGAGAGAGTACACAAGAATTTGTTTAGGCAATTCCCTAATCGGCCTTTTCATGGGTATGTATGCCCTCAATTCGAACTCGAATTGAGATATGAAATTTAATCTTACTTTGCAAAAGTAGTTTACAAGGTAGCAATGCAACCATACAAACCCTAAGTTTGATATTGATTCTAGCACTTTCTATTCCCTTGATCTGAGCTTGATTAAGTCACCTAATAATGCCAATTTGATTCACCGTCTCACGTTACTCTTTGCAAGAACCCTGTAGACGTGGAACATCAAACAGAGCCTACAGACTTTAAAAATGCAGTACATGAACCGACCGGAAAAATTGACGAGTCGACCTATAGAGAAAATTTCATTCTATGTGTCGACCTATAGAGCATATGTGTCGGCACATAGCTGTTTTTCACATGAAAATCAATTTTTGTTGCATGGAACATTTTCTTTGATGTGTTACACCCTCGTTTTCACCTTTAGCCTTTTATACCCTACATTTCGTCATATCATACATCGTTCTATTGCATATCGAGCATGTGGGTTCACAAGGTAAGGATTGGGTCGGTTCTTGGTTTTCCATTCCAAATATGATAATTTGCCAATCATTGGACTACATGTAAGAAAAGGTACATCATCAAATATACTCCATTGGGTCAAGTATGAGTCTAATTTGAGGTGGTCACCCAAAGATTAAGAACAATGCAGTTCAGGATCCCTGATTAGGGTTTCTGATCAGGAAAAGTCAACTGTAGTTTGACTTTTGATTAAAAAGGTGTTCTAATGATGGAATCATGGTTCATGAAGCTCATATGGCTTAATGAAGTCCACTCAAGAAGTTTCAAGACCTCAGGAGACCCAGAATAACAACAGTCGATCCGATAGTTATCGATCGATCGCTTCCTTGACCAAAAAGTCAACTCTTCAACCATAAGGAATTTGACCTCAAGGCGTGAAGCAAAAATGTTACTAATAACATATTGCACCTATCCAGGAAGTTTCATGACCATTGGATCAAGGATTGAGGAGTAATCGAAAAAGTCAGGAATTAGGGTTTTGAAAAGGGCAAAACCATAACTTCCTAACCACACATCCAATTGAGGTGGTTCAAAGTGAAATTCTAGGTACCAAATAGTCGATGTTATAATGGATGTTATGACATCCATTACTGAACAAACGATTAGGCTAAGCAGTAAAACACTTAAAGAAGGCAGTAAATAACACAGAGAATTGTTGACTTAGTTCAGTGCAAATCACACCTACATCTGAGGGCTACCAAGCCAGGAAGGAAATCCAATATTAGTAGAATTAATTCATTGTCAAACAACCAGTTTGCACTCTTCACTTAAGACCTACCCAATGCAACTTCAGCCTAACACTAGACCTGAGTTCCTACTCA